AACACTCATTAGCAAGTGTAAAAATAACAAATTTTATTTATGGTACTATGATTGATTAAGATCATGAATAAACAAAAGGGATTTGAAGGAGCATCCCCGTATAAGGAATTTTTAAGCTGGGAGGAAAAGTTTGACTAGTGATTGCAATTTTGGTTAAACATCCCAGTTGTTCAACTATTTGAATGAATGAGGGAACTCTAAAAGTGGTGCAGAGAACAAGGCTTTAGCTGATTGAGGCATCACAGTCATCCGGCAGGGAGCGTGTTGGTCTACTAGTAATGAAACCAGTATGATCTTACTACTCTGCTCTTTTGGCAACTGCTTTTTATGGGGGTTCAACCGCCAATTACACTGCTCTGATTGGCAAGCCAATAATAATACTTGACCAATAGTATTGACCAGCCAATAATAATACTTGAGCAATGTTCATATGTCATACGCCTTGAAGGGGATGAAGGAAAGCCCCCAAGAACCCAATATGGTTGGTGGTCCAATCAAAATAATGGCCCTGTGTCATAAGTATTGGAGGGGAGACAAGAAGCTCCATCCTAGATCTTCTCTTACCGGCAAGCCAATCAAAAATGGTAGCTTTGTATCGCACATATTCACCTTCAGTGGAACATTTTACATGTTCCAGAATCTTGTCATTTGACCTGATTATCACAGGTGTCATCGTCATTTATATCTGAAAGTGTTATATTCCTGATTAAAAAAAAACGGACCTATTAAGATCTGCTTTGTGTCACTTATTCCAACAAACAATTACTTTATCAGAATTAATACTAATGTTACACAGACCTAAGACTACCTAATGACCAATTCAACCCAAGCTTACAATTTCACCTCTCACATTATACTCTATAAGTAGCAGATAATTCATGGTATTACATTGTTTTAACATGAAAATATTTTTCTTTCTTTAGAAATATAAATTAGATCACCAGTCAACTTTTGACACTAGTCATGGTGTCATAAAAAAGGGTTGTCCCAATGTAGATCTTGCTTATGTTTGTAGATGCAGGCTTTTAAATTTCTGGATGTTTCATTTATATATCTCTTCTTGCATTGCAGGTATTATCTAATGTAGTGTTGGATCTGTTTATTGATAACTATATTGGTAATGATCTTAGTGTTGGGGGAATAACTAGTTTGTTCTCAAATCTTGTTTATAGAGTGTTAGAGTTGTAGGATTATGAATTCTGTGTTGTTGTTATCAGTAGTGCAAACTTTTTTGGACTTTGTATGTTTGTTTTCTAGTGTTGAGGATGAAATGATATCAAGTGAAGAAGTCTAAATGTTCAATGTATTTCTCTTCTTCATCTAGGTATATTAGGCTGCATATTTTAAGGAATCTGCAGTAAAAATTTATGATTGGTTCTGATTTTATATTTTGGTTGTGGTGGGAATAGAAATTGATTAAATCATTTTTATTTGGGAGTTTACAATAAATATTAAAATTTAATTGCTGTAAAAAAAAGGGTAATGTTTTGTTAATTTCATCTGCATGTGTGAATTTCAATGGTTGGTTCTACATTGTTCAGTCTCTTTATGATAGTTTAGTAGATTTTCATTGTGAGAACATAGCAACATTATTTATGTATCGGAGGTAAGTGGAGTTTTTAGGCATGATATGTTTAAATAGGCCAGATTTTAAAAATTCTAGGAAAAAGCAAGCAAGAACACCACTTATTGTGAACCCCACTGGTAAAAAAATTGGTTTTGAATAAAGACAAAATGAAAACTTTTCTTTACCAATGTGTTTTGTTCTCTGATGTACTCAAGGCAAATGTAATGATTTTATTTAGCAACAAGTATTTATAAGCAGAAATAAAACTATTGTTAGGTTTTCAAGATTTTTAAATTTTAGAACTCATAAATATTCTTCAGGTTAACTGTAAAAGTCAAGGTAAACTATGGAGGATGCTAAGTGATATAATTTAGTATCTAAAAATGAAAGTGAGTAATTCTTATTGAATTCGTTTTTTCTTATTTGTTTATATATATTTACTTATTTATTCTCCCTTTTTAATGTAATTATGATTTATTATTTTAATTTGATAAATTAATTCCTGTATTTATTTATTGTAAATAATAGGTTTTGATTTAACCATTTTCTTTTAATTTTAAAAAATTGTTATGGTCATGTATGTTGGCTTGGGAAAGGAGTATATCTTTTACAAATGGAGATATTTGAATAAATCCAGAGCATATATTTACATTTTGGCAAGTTTTGATAGCAGCAATCTTTAAGAACTTTCTGTCTAAATAAATTATTTTCTCTTTTAATAAGCATGGCGTTTTTTAGATTGAAGTTGTGGTTGAACTTATGTCTATATATGACTAATGCGTTTGATAAATTTTTATGTATAAGATCCATTTTACATTCATAGATACATTTTTTAAATTTCTGCAAGTTTGCCCAATGTATTGTGAGGAAAAGTTGTGACAGTTTATTTTATATATACCTGCTTCAGAATTATTATGATTGTAGACATTTCTGGTTCTAATTATATCCATTATAGTTTTGGATGTGATTGTAATTATTTTTTTATTTTGATATTGTTAAGATTGGATAAATTGTTTTGACTGTTAAGGAATTAGTAGGTAATGTCATATAATGGCTGAAAAATAGTAGTAACAACAAAGATAAGGACAGTAGTCTGTACAAAAATAATGTAAATTGTGGAGAAGCACCAGAGGATTTTTAGCAGCATTTCTTGGAAACTTCAGAATAAATGAACATAATCAAAGGTATAAACAAATTATATATGTTTATTTATTTTACTTTGATTGGGGTGAGTCCTTTGTAATTTGGGTTGGCAAAAATTTGTTCAGCTGGGTAGATGATAGTTTAGGAATGAGACTTTGGTAGTAGTCAGGAGTGTGGTTACTTTGGAAACATGTTGCAGATACCAAATGATGTGTTTTCTCAGCTCTCATGAAGGGTGGAAAAATGTGTTAAGCAGATGACAGCTTAGTTTCTTTGTGTATCATGCTCTGCTCGCTGACTTCTCTTTACTGCTGTATGTTGGCCGTCTCTTTGTATACACTTAAGAAAGACTCCAGCTTATTTGGCTTGAAGCTTGGTTTTGACTAACAACAAAAGTCTCTTGTTCTTTTGATTGGCCAAAATTCTTTTATTTATTTTCTAGTTTTCCTTTTTTATAGTGGAAGTTATACATGGAGCCTCTCTTATTTTGGTAGATTTCTAGTCACAATAAGTAGACGTTGGTCGAAAAACTTTGATTTCACAGCAGTTTTTTTTATATCAGAGTTGCCTTTTCATTAGTTGAGAGAGAATTATAGAGAGAAGGGTAGAGAGTGCAAGAGATATGGGTTTTAAAGAAAAAAAATGCCTTATTTTTATTTTTTTAATATTTTATTTTCATATTTTATTTTTATATTTGGGCACACCACAAAATAATTTTATTTTAAAGGAAAATTTTAAGTATGAAATAAGGCCTAGATCTGAGAATTTGAAAATCATGAGTGAACTCAGTTAAAATTACCTGATGAAATAAAAAGTACACTGTATAATGAAAAGGTTTATTGGGTTGGGTTTTAAAGTTGAGTGGGATTTAATGACATATCAACCTACTGGTAAAATTTGGTTTGTAAAATTTGAAATCATAAATAAACATTTATATTTGGGTCAGCAAGCATCCACCGAGTTGGTGACACATTTTCTTTTTTTCTTTTTTTTTTCTTTGGAAGGGGATGAAATCATAGTGTTCAAGGCCTTGTCAACTGGGTAAATAACATGAAAAGTAGGGCAAACATAGACTTTTGTGCTCATGCTCACAATAAGACATAATGTCAAAATGATCTTTTTTCCTATGACGCCACTTTTTTAACTACCTTCCTCTTCAGCAATGTTTATTGTTTTAAAAAGCAACAATTTGAATAGAAATAAAGCTGAAACACATAGTGAAAGTGAATTTATGTACATTTTTGTTCTTGAGAATTTGCAAAAAAAATATTAAATACTATTAGACTTTTTTATTGACTTACCCTCACCACCATATATATATATATATATATATATATATATTATAATTATTTTTTTAAAAATATGATTTCATCGTTACATAGGAATTACTATGTTTCAAAACTCTGAAGAGTGGACAGACAGTTTCACCTATGAAACTCTGAAGTTAGAATGCTGAAGGTAACATCAATCAACTAAGTGATAAACTTTTACTGATATATATATATATATATATATAAAAATAAAAGAGGGATCAGACTGGCATTTTTTAAATCAAAACTGTGGTCAAATGTATTTGATATCTAAGCTGGCCATGTTTTTATTTATCATGTCTAAGGGTTTTTTTTTAATGTGTGCTGAACTGATTGTTCCATGGGAGGTTAAGATTTTTGCTATAGCTTTTGCTAATTTATAGGGTATGTTTGGGTGATATTCTCTCAAACTTATCCATGATTTCTCTTCATTGGCAACTAACTTTCTGATCAATTTATTAATTTTTTTGTGTCTCAGTTGTAATATTATGTTTGCAAATTTTTTCATAAGTATCTGAGAATAATTTTATATTTACAACATTCTAAAAACATAATACATTTTTATTAAGACTAATGCAATAGAATATTTAGCATCTACCAATTTATAAAGAAATAAATATAAAAACAATTTTTTATTCATAAATTTATAAACATTTACTAAGTTATTAAAATTTATGTACCTTATAAGGAAACCCTTATTATTTACTATTTTATTTGCCTACCATTCCTATAAAAAAACAATAGTGTAAATAAACAATCTAATAATTAATGTTTATTATTTTTGTTGCCAATTCTCAGAAGAAAATAAAATGTATAAATTTGCTTTCATATATTTAGGCTTTATTATAATTCTGATTATCACTTTTTAAAACAAGAAACAAAGAGTAAAGGTAATTAAAAAAGAGGTGCCATGGGAAAAAACGTCCTTTTGACCCTCCGTCTTATTGCAAGTACAGAAGTCCATGTTTACTAAAAGCAGATTACAGTATGATGCAATTACTGTTGGTTTGTTCACGTTCATATACAACAACAAAAGCTGGATACATTTGGTCATCATTGTATGTAACAAATATGGTGGGTGACTTCTCATTGTTTGTAGTTGATTGAATGTCATTGGGTATATTGAACTCAGTAAAGTTAGGGTTTCCAGAACAAGCTGTACCAGCAACAACAAAGGCAAGAAACATACACTTTTCACCATTTCTGTTTGGAGCTGCATATGTATCCTGGTTAGAATAATTTGCATTTACAGCAAAATAGCAACCTTGTCCATAAACTTTTCCTATAAGAAAAGAAAGGTAATTATTCAAATATATATATTGTCATTAATGCTTGGATTCATTCCTGACCTTTGACAATCTCTTTCTTGATTGTTAATGCATTCATGTAGTAAAACTATAAGCAATACATTTATTTTATACATATCATACTCTATTTTATCATTAATAGTTGTCTTCATTCCTGACTTGATAATTTCTTTCTTCCTGTTAGGCAATCCCCACAGTAAAATCATTAGAAATGCATTCACATAATAGTTAAATTTATCATTAATGGTTGCATTCATTCTTGACCACTAATAATCCCTTTCTTCTAAATTTTCGATGCATTTCTATAGTAAAATCCTTACCAATACATTCACATTATACATAAAATAGCCCTATTCTATTAGTTATGCTTGCATTTATTCTTGACCAGTTGACAATCCTATTGGACAATAGATTAACGCACTGGTTCATGACTTTGGTGACATAGTATTTGTGAGTTCCATCTCTGGGTTGAGCAGTGTGTACTTGCACTCAGTGGAAACAGCAATAACTGAGCAGTAATATAAAAAAAAACTAGATGATACCCTAGACATGGGCAGGGGTAAAACTAATAAAACTAAAACTAAAACTGTCTACCCCTATAAATTAAATAAAGGGTTCAGTTCAGAATTCACTGTTGGCTACTCTAAACAGTATACACCTGAGGAAGGCTAGATGGCACAAGGGCTGAAAAATTGTGATAACAACAACAAAGATAAGGTCAATAGTCTTGGTATAAATAGGGTAAACAATGACAATCCTTCCTTCCTGATTTCCAATGCATTTCTATAGTAAAATCATTAGCAATACATTTACATTGTACATATACACTGGTGTGGAAGCATTTTGGGTTAACAACATAAAATTATTATATACCTTTATATTATTAAGAAATTAAGATTGCTTAGCAGAATGCATTTCTCAGTATTGTCTGTGGATCTTGAGGATTGGAAAATAAGTTGTTGCATGCTATGAAACAGAAGATACACTATTTTAAGCAGCTTGAAATTTAAAAAAAAAGTCAATGAAAGAACTGAGATGAGAAAGTCATGATAATATGCAAATTTCTAAGCAGGAATTGTTCCAAATTAGTGAGGTGCCTAGGCAAGTCATTGTTATTGAACATTTACTTGCTTTTTTACATGAGAATTTTGGCTAAAATTTCTGTTCAAAGATGAAGGTTGTGATTTTGAAGATAACTCAACAAGATATGGTCAGTCAACAATTATGTTCACCAATTATTTTGGTGGTATTTGCCCTAGTAATGATTGTTTATCAATCAAATCTTCTAATGGGATTGTATTGGTTGAAAAATATGTATAAGATTTAATTCCTATATTTCCACCACTAACAGACATGGACGACATTGATGAAAATCAAAGCCATTAAGAATTGCTTGAACCAGCACTAGCACACTTAGATGAACAGACACCAAAAGGTTTGGTTGAGCAACAGAGCACTGTAACAACAAATAGCAGAAACAGCCCATCAGAGTTGCAATGTTCAGGTTGCAGGTTAGACTTATAAATCATTCAGTGAATTATTATTTTATTTTCTCTATCAGAATTGTTTTTGTTTCCATATATACATGTACATATTTTCTTCACTCCTTTTCATTTGTCATTCTTCTGTGACTGCTACTAACCTCATATCTATGCTTCACTACTAAAATGACCTACTGCCTGTTATTAACTGAGGCAAATAGTTTTAATAGCTTCAAAACAAAAGTGTTCTCCATGAAACCTCTGAGAGAACACTTTCTGCCTTCCATCATCATGGCTGATGTTATTGTCCAGGAGAGTGGCTAGATTGGCATGAAATGGAAAAATATATTGAATCCATTTCTAGATCTGCTGCTAAAAAAATTGGTTCACGGTGTTGTGGGAGAAAATTTTCCCCTCCGGAATCTATCTTCCATATCTATAAGTCTACCATTCATTCATACTTTGAATATTGCTGACACATAGCCTGGTGCTTCTGCTATATATTTAGAGATTCTTGATAAAATTAAAAAAAATCAGCAATGTTATTTATCCTGACCTGGCTTCTTGGCTTCAATCACTGCTGTAAAGTTCTCTGTGCTTTTTCGATAAATACTGTCATGGTCATATAAACTGGTTGGTAACAATAACACTAGTACCTTCTCTCTTGTGAGGATTAATGAAAATCTGTGACTCATGAATTTCAAACACTCCAAACTACCATGCTAGACACCTTCCTCCTGACTGTCTATTGGTTTGTCTGTTTATCTACCTCAGAACCCACACAGTTCTTTGTACATCCAGGCACCTGAATCAAACCACGTGTCCCACATCACGCTTAAACCATGTTTTATGTATTCCAAAGGATATGAGTTCAATCCAGGCAGGCAAGATACAACTAGGTTCTCTTCTGCTAAACCACTATGTTATTATTCCTGCTACAGGTAATTGTTCAGATGAGCTCTCGGAAGAGCTCATACCTAGACTTCAAGAATATAAGTGTAGTAGTAGATTAGCAAAAAGGTCTCATTAATTTACAATTCAATTGACTAGATGTAACCATATGTTCTCGGCCAACAGTATATTTTTCTCGCACTCCTCAATTGTGGAACTCTCTTGTGGATTCTCTGCTTTCCAGACAAATTTGATATTCAAAAATTTAAGTGCAGTGTCAATTGTTATCTACTGTCTTTCTGATTACTCTTCTATTGTTCTCACTCCTGTTTCTGTTTTCTAATTCTTTCACACTCAGTAACTCCTTGACTTAGTGGCTTTACTGCCTTGCATGGGGTGAATTTCATTAAAAAATATATCTGCACTGTGATCTCAAGGGTGAAGCATGTGTGCTAAAGTAAATTAACCATGGGTTACTCCCCGTGATACAGGAGTTTCCAGAACAAGATTTTGACATGGTGTGAAATAAAAAATGTATACACATTGTGTACATGTGAACTTGGAATAAACAACTATCAATCAGATCTTCTTGTCTTTCATACAGAAATATCCCACATGGAAATATTACACAATGGTGAAAAATTGACTTCAAGACAAGATTAACATCTTATGATGGCCTGCAGTGATGTTCACTCTGTACAAGCCTGGTAGCCACTAGAGGTTGAAAATTACAGAGTAAGAGGCACAGTTTATGGGGATATGTGGAGAAGATAATGGTTAACCTTGGAGTTGAACAGGTTAAGATTGTAGTGATTGGGGAAGCATCCTCTTGGGAGTTGGCTCCACAAAGCAGCAGTTCATAGGAAGAAGCTACTCAAGTGGAACTTACATCTCACCAATGGAATATGAAGGGAATGAAAGTGGTTTGCTTAGATCTTAGCCATGAAGGTTAGAACTGGTGGAATTAAGAAATGTAGTTTGTCTGAACACTTTCTATGGAAATAGCAATAGAACAGTGAGAAAGGTGTTGTAGGGTGGAAAATAATTTGTCAGCCACAAGGACACAGAAACTGGAAAATGAAGACAGGGTAGCTCCTCCTCCCAATACATTGCAACAGTACTCCATTTCTGGCCTGATCTGGCCCTTGTCAAGGTAGAGGATACCAGGAGGAGTCCATTACTTACTAGAGTAGTACAGATAACCAACCATTTTCTTTAGTGATGGATCTTGTGTTTCACTTGAGGTCTAGGTGGATCAGCAGTGGATTGAGGTAATCAAAACCTGTACTATTTCTTGCTCAAGTGATTGTTCCTATTTAGGTGATCAACAACCTTCTTGTTGATTATAGCTTCAAAAAGCTTGCTAATGAAACTGAGGAGACTGATGGGTCTATACTGAAACAGAGATGAGCACTCACCTATATTCTTGAAAACTGGGCATACACTCAACACCTACAGACTTGAGAAGGGTTTCTCAATATTGCAGTGGTTAAAGAATTTCTCTAAGATTGGGGATAATTCTGAGTTCTTAAGGACAACTGCTGGGATTTTGTCTCAGCAAGTGACTTTCTTAGGGCAAGAATTTTGATAAGTCTTGAGACTTGATGGGCTGTAATAAAAATACTACTGAAATTGTACTCAGTGAGATGGAGGAAGTTGGGAAGGAGATAGCTTATGTCATCTAATGTTGAGTTAGAGGCAAAGATGTTCACCTTATCTGATGAGGATCAGATGACCTTAGGGTCATTTATAATAGTGGTTACAGATGCTTTGTCTCTATTCAGAATTTGTTTGGCAATCTTGCGGAACACTCAGGATCCAATTTGTTTGTTTTCAACCTTAGTTTGAACTGCTTGTGCTTAGCTACATTTTGTATTTTCTAGGACTGCCTTGGAGTGATTGTGAGAAAGCGTCCAAGTACACCACTCCTTATGATAGATATTGTAGTAGTGGTTATGGTGAACTATGGCTGCAGTGCATTCAGAGGTGAACCAGGGCTGGCTGTTCAGGTTTTGCTGGAATTTTTTCTGGGATATAAAACTCACATTCTTGAAAGGGTCCATTTTGAGACAAGGGCAGTAGCTTTGACGGTAGCATGCTTGAAAAATTTGAGAGAGAAGCTTCTCCCAGGTAACATCTGAAACCATTACCAGTCTGCCTTCATGTAGTGAAAAAAGGTTCTATGGAACAGCATATCAAAGGATGCCTTTGGTTTAGCATCAATTTGGACACTGACTAGAGAATGGTCTGACATGGTGGAGAACACTTTCAAGAGGCCCTTTTCACACCAGGATGTGAGGAAGAGGTCAAGTAGGTTTGTCTGATGTCCCATCACATAAGGAACACAGATGGGGGTCTTCAATAATCTGTGTTTGTTCAGAGTAGGTGGAGAAGTCTCTGCCTTCTTCATCAGTTTTGTTTGATTAGACTAACCACTCTTTGTGGTGAGTATTGAAGTCATCACAGATATGAAAGCTAGAAGATGAGGGAAGTTCAGTGAAGATATTATCGATCATTTCAGATATTTCATCAAAATGATGATAGTGATTCAAAAAGAATGTGCTACTATGGATAAGTGCTACACAGAAGCACATATACACAAGATCAGGGTCCTCATTTTTTTGTGATTATAATCTTATATTCCATTCTGCAACCTCTTTCCCATGGTCAAAATGTTGTTTGCCTCTCACTACTTTATCATTATTTCCATGGCAAGTTTTCAAGCAAGCTACAATCCTTAGTTTAGACCATCACAGCTAGGTAACTAGAGAAGTGAGTTTGAATTCCAGTTGAGTTTTATGTTATATTAAAACTTATGTTAGCCTTTATCAAGGCTAACGTAAGTTTTTCTTTTGTCTTTGTACATATTGTTCTTTTACAGATATATTTCAGTTATATCTGAAATTTTATATATATATATATATATATATATATATATATATATATATAAATTTTCAGATATAGTTGATCCCCTAATTCATATATATATATATATATATATATATATATGAATTAGGGGATCAGCTGATTCTGCTACCTTAGGTAGTGGAATCAGGTGATCTCCTAACTTTTATACCTAAAAGCTCCATATGTTAAATTTTTATTTTTTTATATATGTATTGAGCACTTTTTAATAGTACTGTTTCCTGGTCTAATTCAACTATGACCATTAACATTTATATTATATATATATATATGACTGTGGACTGAAAAGTTCATAGGCTAACTATAAAGGAGTCATGCTAGAACTGTGAAATCCTGCCTGCATTAATTTCAACTCTTCTCACGAATAACTGCATTCCTCCTTTCAAGGTAAATTGGCAAAGAGGATTATGTTGAAAAATAAACCTAATTTGGTCACATTCCATGAGAGTATCTTGGTTAGCCTATGAACTTTTCAGCCAACTCATATATATATATATATATATATATATAAATTCTCAATGTTAACCTGTAGAAAAAGACAATATGTATAAAGGTAAAAGACAATAGGAAAACTATATTATTTATTAGCTTACACGTTTCATCCAATGTGAATATTTTCAAGGCAAAAACGAAATTAATTTATTGAAACAAAGTAACTATAAACAACAAACAAAATGTCCTTAGTGACTAAAAGAATTTAGAAAATACTATTGTATTATGAAAATTACGTCAAGTACTTTATGTTCAAAGAGAATATTTTCATGTGTAGAAATATTGTATTGTTGTGTTGATGGATTCAACCATTTTCTTAGATTTCTTGATATATTTGTTGTGTACATTGGCTTGGAGAGTAGTGATTCTCTTAGGAAAGGTGATATTGGGAAAAAACTAAGCCAACATACACAACAAATATATCAAGTATTCAAAAGAAAATGGTTGAATCTGTCAACACTACAGACAATATTTCTACATATGAAAATATTCTCTTCAAACATAGAGTACTTGATGTAATTTTCAGTTGACCATATGAATATACAACAGCATTTTTCTAAATTCTTCTAGTTGCTAAGGACATTTTGTTTGTTTATAGTTACTTTGTTTCAATAAATTCATTTCATTTTTGCCTTGAAAAAGTTCACATTGGATGAAACATATCAGCTAATAATGGTTTTCCTATTGTCTTTTATCTTTATATATATATATATATATATATATATAGCCAAATGCAAAAGATATAAAGTGAAAACTTTTTGATATTTACGTTGAGCCAGCCTCCAGTCAAATCCATATCGAATGATACTATCAATACATTCATGACTTGTGCCATGCCACAACTTTCTTTCTGTGGTTTTACCATTTTGTATGTTGTTCTTGTAGCGTTCATAAGCTACAAAAAGTCTTTTATTCTCAATCCTTTCAATCTACAAAAGAAAGAAAATTAAAATCAGATAAAGGAGAGGGAAGCTTGAATAATCTCTGGCTTTAAACACACATCATTAAAACCAGTATTTAGCCACATATAATTTCACAGTGAAACAACAAAAGCATTACAAAATTTAAGAATGAAATATATTCAAATGAATGAACTGCTTACTGCAGGAGAACAAAAGCAAGGGATATTATCTGTGTAATGCTTGTTATCATTGCTAGGAATGTTCAATGGGTTAGAATATTAGTCATGAGTCTCAGGTTCAAATCACACCGTGATTGAGTTATCAAGGTGGTGACAACTTGATAATATCAACCTGAACAAATGATCATAATGTGCAACACCATTGGAAAGTGCCTGATAACTATTCCATAAATTGCCCCAAGCCTTGATTGAAATTGAGAGACAGAGAACTATTTGGGAGCCATTGACGGTTGTGCTAGCATGAAGTCACAAGTCATTGTGACCGAGGTTTTGAGCATACTTACCTTGTTCAAAATGGTTGATCATGTCAGATTGTGCACGCTTTCTCAGAAACTGTAACTAAGGTCTGCTCAGTATAGTTGAAGAAAAACAATTGTGCCTGAACAGATGTCTGCAACAAGGATGAGCCATCTTTACTTTATAATTTTAATTGAGGAATGTGTGTGTCTATGAGTTTCTCCGAAGCAATAAGAGATTCATAAAACTATATATATTCTAAATCTGCATCATCTGAACAAGGTTTTTTTTACCATTTTTTTATCAACACACTATCATCATCAAGCATGGATATTTTTCTATTTAGGTAAAATTCAGGTAACATCCAAGATGAAAATAAATGTAATACAAGTCGAAATATTTTTTTTTTTGGAGTGTGTTATTGTTAATAATTAGAAAATTGTGAAGCATGCAGTCATAACACTATAGCTGAATTTTGAAAATTTGTGTGAGAGCATTTTTGAATCTCTATTTATAAAAGGCAGGATGTGTGCATGTGTGTGTATGTGTGTGTGTAACGAATGCACGGATGCAATTTTCAACAGATTTGCACCAAAATTTACATGCACATGCTTTAAGTTAGTGGAAAGGCCAAGACTGACTTTGCATTTCCCAACTCCCATTGATAGTGGAAATAATCGATTTTTCATGCTTCTACGGCAATTTTCATGTAGTTTGCAGCCATTTTCTACTAGCCAGAGTGAAAGCCTATAGCTGGCTGCCACGAATAGGCAGGAAGATTCTATTGGTCAGCGTGAGAGCCAACAGCTGACTGACATGAATGTTAACTAGCATGCTAGCATGTAAAAAAAATCGACAACTGCATTCGTCACAAGTGGGAAATATTTAAATCTGCATGGCACTTTACTCCAGTTGGCTCATTTGCTTGCTTAAACTCAACATTGATTTTGATTCTGCAGAACTGGGTTGGGTGTGAAAAAGTATTTGTTGTTAACATTCTTTTTTCATTTGGTTTTTCGAGTTACGAGTCCTTTTTTAAAGCTGATCGTTTTGTGTTCATTTCATTTAGTTCTTTTTTCGTAACAGATTTAATGTTTAGTATAGAGCTTAGAAAAAAATTTGCAGTGTGAGATAGGCAAGAAGTAAGGCATGTAGCAACATCAGCATGGCAAAGGGCACTCCTTTAAAGGCAAGCAAAGGCAAAACATATTTTAAGTCAAGTGATAGCAATTGCTGTATGAGTCGTACGATTTTTGAATCAAGCACAGGAAACGCCGGGCCATGCTGCTAGTTTACTAATATAGCAATTCCAAGAATTTTATTGTAAGTGTTTTATCAGTCAAAGTGGCATGGACTAAATGATCCAATAACTAGAGCAATGTTCCAGTTGTTTTCCCGAAATTTTGCACCGTGATGAGTCCTTTTAAATTATTACAGAGTGTGAAAGTAAGAGAAGTAAGAGTAAACAGGAGTGTTTGAGGAAAGAATAAAGAGAAGGACATTGATCAAGATCAAGGCATCAGAAGATGTCAATTGGCATTACATTAGAAGCTGTTGGAGTAGAAGAGGCAATTACATTTAACTGTTTCAGCGGTAAAAGGGTGGGACCAAGATGCCAACCTAGTAGTACACTTAAATTCATGCAGTTGGGGCACCAGTGAAAATAGCTCATCAGAGTAGTAACCATAAAAATATTAAAAAAAAATATTCGCTCTCCAGCAGTATTAAAACCTGCATCCTCCTCGGCAGAAGGAAACATTGTTAATCTCATATGCTTTAACCTCCTCAGCCACAAAGAAACTTTGGTAATCAAACAAGGCTGAATAGTGCCTTTAAGTGAAATCCTACTTGTCATAGACTCTAAAAATTTCATATCTGCTCAGTTTCATATCAATTTATCTGTTTAATAAATTAATCGAGTGTTTACTTAAATATTAGTATCCCCTAAATATAATGTTTAAAATGATTATATATATATATATATATATATATATATATATATAACCATCTTTAATCATATATATATATTTTTGTGACATCAACAAAACACTACTTATTGTCACTTTCGTAATGCTCATTGTAGTAGAGACTTTATAATCGCAAATACAACTATAATTGAGCAATACTAGAGTCAAATGCCTTTGAATAACACTCGCACTAATAATACTTGCTGGATAATACTCACTTGAATGATAAACGTTGAATAGTGATCCGAATACTAATCCATATTGTCATCACTTGCCACGCTAATTCCCATACATACAATTGTTTTACCATCACATGATCTACTTATTCAAATTGGATCACCTGTGTTTGCTCTCTGGTGATCTGTGATCAAATTCCAGTGTCAGCAGCGACACTTTATTCCTATATAACACCTCCCCTTTGAAATGACTTCTGGAGTCCATACTTCTTCAGCTTCGGTTGAATAGTCAGAAATTTTGTTGGCATTCTTTTTCTTTTGCCATAAACCCTTGGTTCAACAATTCTTGATGGCATGGATATGTTAAATGTGTCATACAGAATTTTGATTGGTATCTCTTTTTAGGAACTTTTTAAATCAGTGAACCTACGTTTTAACTGATTACAATGTCGCCTATTGTTGAAGCTTGGATAAGCATGGAATAATAATAATACAACACAAAATGTACGTAAACAAAATGTATTGAAACAAGGAAAAGGTACACAATATTTACAGTTAGTTTTGGTATATTCTTGGGAAGACTGTTCCTGTAGAATGGGTTGACTTAATCGCAGTCGGGCAGAGTCTCTGGATTGGATCTCTTCTTACTTCCTCCATTGTCTTCCCGGTACCAACCCATATTTATATGGTCGGTACTCCACTATGTAAATTAGGTGGATCGTACCACAACACCTATGTTCCCACTTTTGTCCCTGTACCATGTCATTTTGCTGATCCATTTTTTTTTATAATGCCATCTTCCCAGAATTCCTTGATACATCTTAAAAAATACCTTACCTCCAAGTTATCTACTTGTATTGTTATTTCTTGATGTTCTCACCTTGCATTCTGGTAATAACTTATTGAAAACAGACTTAATGTTCCTGGCGAACATCAATTTGACAGGCAACATTCTAGACATGTTATTCAGGTTTTGTGCTATTCTGTAAACATTCAGAAATTGCTGAATCACTACTTCAGACTCCTCCCCCTCTGACTTTTTTAGTGCCCTTTTAAACATATTGACAAACCGCTCCACTTATTCCATTTGATCGTGGGTGATAAGGGGGAATTGTAATATGTTCTATTGCTAACGATTTGCAAAAAAACTTAAATTCACTAGACATGAATTGAATCCCATTATCTGAAATGATAGAGTCAGGAACACTGAAACTTCCAAAAATCTTGTGTAAGAAATTTATTGTTACCATGGTAGTTGTTCTTCTACATTTTAATATTTCTGGACATTTAGTGTAACTTTCAACTACCACTAGATAGTATGCTCAGTTTAATGGTCCTGCAAAGTCTATATGTATTCTGGACCATGGCATATCGGTTTTCAGCTAAGGTTGAATTTTGATAGGTGGTGACTTTTGCATGATTTCATTAAATTTTCAATATCCTTCTCCATTTTTGGCCAGTAAGTAATACACCTCATTAAGGATTTCATTCTAGAAATTCCTGGATGTCCTCTGTAAAATTCTTTTAACATACGTCTTTGCAACGATGCTGGTATCACCACTCTTTCTGCGTACATAAGTACATCATTACATAATGAAAATGCATTATTTCCAATAATATTTTTTCCTTTAGATCTTAATTTCTCCTTCATTTTCATTATAAAGTTGTCTTTTTCTGCCTTAATTTTTATTTCCTTCAATGTTATGGGCAGTTCTCTTACAGTATTGTATAATATGCTATTAATTTCACTTTCAGCCCTTATCGCCGCAATCACTGTGTCTTCAAGTCATTCACAAAATCTTGGTATTAGTCTAGACAATCAGTCTGAATGACTTAATTTTTTGGATGGTAAAAATTCCATTTTGTAATTATAATTCAATAGGATAGTTTCCCAGCACTGCAGTCTATTCACTGTATTTGTGAGAACACCCTTTTTGATCCATATATGGACAATAATGAACAATGGTCTGTCTGTAATATGAATTCTCTACCATGTATGAATTTGTGAAACTTTTTCATGGCATATATGATGGCCAATACTTCCTTTTCTATCTGGCTGTAGCTTCTTTCAGCTGCAGTTAATGATTTTGAAACATGAGCTATTGGTTTAGTTGTTCCATCCTCATATTCATTATTAATTGGATCTAAGGCCACAAAAGGTACACTCTTTTTTGACTTGAATGTCAGTGTTACATTGTCTTTTGATTCAAACTTTGCTTTTGTGCAAGTCTCTAGACCTTCTGAGGAAAGTTCTGGAAAACTCTTTTTCAGTTCATTTTTCAATTTTTCAGTTGACACACAAGTATTGGAGGTAACAATATTTATTTTGTTGCAAGAAAGAGTTAACTGGAAGATCCCAAAGATCAAACAATGCAATCCAGTCTGTTGCAAACAAATTAGCAGTATTCTTTAATACAAACGCCACCACTTTTTTGGTTTTTCCCACAAAAGAAACATTACAGCTGAATTCACCCAAAAAGAGACTCCATGCAAAACTTTATTAGAAGTCAATAAGCTGGGTTTACCCATTTTTCTCCATCTCTGTTCATTTATAATAGTGATAGCTGATCCTGTATCTAGTTGCAATTTTATTTTGATATTATTAATTTGCCCAAAAACAAATTTCCTATTTTGAGATGTCTTATTAATTTCCCTTTTAGGCTTCTTATCGTTATTCCATGTATTTATCATTTATCATACATTTTATTTATTTTTCCATTTTTTGCATCTGCAACATGTACTTTTGTGTCTTAATCGCCCGCATTCATAGCATTTTTTGTTCTTAAAGAAACAATCACTTTTAAAATGCTTACTTCCACAATCGTAGCAAGTATTAGGTATTGAGGGGGGTTTATAGTCTTTTTTTTACTGTTCTGTTAGGAGTTGAAAAATGTTTCTAGTTTTTTCTCTTAGATGGTCAAACACTACGTACCTGTATATTGTCTTTTTCCTCAATCCTTGTGGTATCAAGTTTCAAATTCACAATATGTTGACAGTCTTCCGCTATTTTCTGGAGAGTTAATTTGGGATCCATTTCTAATTTAGCAAGTATCCTGGATCTTATCTCCATGTCATTATAAGAAGTTAAACCCAGGCATTTAAATAAATCAGAAGTTGATTTTCACATTCTCGATTCATGATTCCTGCATAAGTGACAAAATCTTTATTATCAGACTTTACTAAGTTAAGATGTTGCCATCATGTATTAAATAATGAACTCCTATCACCAAAAATTTTTGATAGTATTTGAACAGTCTCATCAAAATTTGTCTTGCCTGTTTTTTTTGGCAAAATATAATTTACATATTTTTCATGTTCAGCAGGGGACAATTTCCTTAACAATGATCAAACTTTCTTTTTATCATTCCAATGTAAACAATCATTTTTGAAGATCCTTTCCTATGTTTTATAATAAGTTGGAAAAGTTATCCTTTCATTTGGATTGTACATAATTTTGCTGATTGAATTAGCAACAGCATCTGGAATGAATGAATCTGAAGATTTTTTCTAGAATGGTTTTGATATACAACTCAAAAAACTTCTGTTGTAATTGTAATTGCTGTTTATGTTGTTGTTTTTGTTGCTGCAATTGTTGTTCTTGTAGTTTTTGTTACTGCAACATTTGAAGCATGATAGCTTTTAATTCTTCCATTCTGCTGTACTCTGTTGAATATTATTTCCTCTTGTAAATTGAACAAATCCTTTGTTAAGTTGAATGAATCCTCATGTAAGTTCAAGGAATCTTTGTGTATGCCAATTAAATGAATACTTGTTATCACTTTCATAATGCTCATCATAGAAGAGACTTTGCAATCGCAGATACAACTATAGTAATGCCGTTGAACAATGCTGGTGTCAGGTGTCTTCAAATAACACTCGCTTGAATGGTAAACGCCAAATAATGATCTGAATACTAATCTTATCTCTATTTATAAAAGGCAAGATGTGTGTGTGTGTGTAACGAGTGCACTGCCGCAATTTTCGATGGATTTGCACCAAAATTTACATGCCACATGCTCCAAGTTAGTGGGAAGGCCAAGACCAACTTTGCATTTCCCAACTCCCATTGATAGTGAAAATAATCGATTTTTTCATGCTTCTATGGCAGTTTTCATGTAGTTTGCAGCCATTTTCTACTGGCCAGAGTGAGAGCCTATAGCTGGCTGCCACGAATAGGCATGAAGATTCTATTGGCCAGCGTGAGAGCCAACAGCTGACTGACATGAATGTTAACTAGCATGCAAAAAAAGTTGATAACTGCATTCGTCACAAATGGGAAAAATTTAAATCTGCATGGCACTTTACTCCAATTGGCTCATTCACTTGCTCAAACTCAACGTTGATTCTGATTCTGCAGAACTGGGTTGGGTGTGAAAAAGTATTTGTTGTTAACATTTTTTTTCATTCAGTTTTTCCAGTTACAAGTCCTTTTTTAAAGCTGATCATTGTGTGTTCATTTTATTTAGTTCTTTTTTCATAACAGATTTAATGTTTAGTATAGCGCTTAGAAAAAATTTGCAGTGTGAGATAGGCAAGAAGTAAGGCATGTAGCAACATCAGCACGGCAAAGGGCACTCCTTTAAAGGCAAGGAAGGGTAAAAATATTTTAAGTCAAGTGATTGCTGTATGAGTTGTACGATTTTTTAATCAAGCACAGGCAACGCCGGGCCATGCTGCTAATATAAACTACAAATAATCTGCTGATCAAAAAATATCCAAAATCAAAGCTGAATACAAGCTTTCAATTTGCATGAGTCATATGTGCTTTAAGTGCTACCTGTGTGATAGAGTGGTTGTTGTGTAACCTATATAAGACATATTGTGAATTTTTTACAGAGACCCAATTTCCAATTGGACAGATAAACTATGGACTATAGAATTTAAGAACATGAAGTATCTAATAAATAAAAAGAATAAATTTGAACTGTTGGCATGCTGACATATTACCTTTTAAAAAACCTGAAACAACAAGTAAATCTCAAGAACAATACTAAGATACAGTCACTAATTTTGAAAATTGCTTTGTGTGAACTAGTCAAAGGGTAAAAATTGCATTGAAACATGTTTTCATGTCAAGGGATGTCACTGAGATACTGTGAGCACTTGATGGCTGGAGGATCAACTTCTAGTTCATCCCACTGATGAACATGATTTTCTCTATTTTGGTCTCATCTGGAGTGCGCTCAGTTCATACTAGAGTCATCACATCAACTTCTAGTTCTCATTTGATCCCTGAAGTTAAGCAATGTCAAGCTTGGGCAGTACTTAGATGGTGGACCACTTGGGAATACCAAGTACTGTGACCAACTTCTTACAATCTGAAATGTGTTTCAGATTTAAATAACTTACAAATGGCTTATAAGCCATAAAAAACAAATCAATCAACAAGAAACAGATCAACTGCTCTTAGAACAAAAATGTTTTGACATTAAATTGGATTCATACCATCTTGTATTCCTGATATGACTCATGTACTACGCATTTTAGTCATAATATCATGCATTTGTAGTAATATATATATATATAACTTCAACTATTATTTTTAGGGGCTACCTATATTTGAGTAGATGCTTCATTTTTATTTTAAACAGTATTTATTTCATCTACTGGCCTGCATGCTTAAGAAAACTTATTAAGGAAAATGTACCTCCCAGCATGATTTGAACCTGCATCCCCCATTGTGGGAGAAACCACTGTTTGATCAGGTGTGCTTTAACCACTCGGCTATGAAGATTTTAACAATCAAGCAACAGAGCATCTACTAAAATACAAAAAAATAATATTTAAAGGAATAAAAATGTCATATTAAAAAATAAATTCTATTAATTCTTTGGAAAAAAAAATATATATATATATATATATATATATATATATATATATTATGGAGAGAGAGATGGCCTGAAGATTTATTCAAGTATGGAACAGACTGTCGCCACTCAGTGTTGACCTCACCTCAATGTCCACTTTTATTTATTTATCTATATATATATATATATATGTACAAGGTCTAATAAAAAAGTAGCATAACTTTTGCTATGGTAGCGGAACTAAAGTACACAGAATGAATCTGCTTGGTACAGATTGACCTTGAACTTTGTTGCATATGCACATTAATTTACAATATTCTCACTCACTCCTGTTGGTTAAAGCCGTGCTTGGAAGGTAAGTGCATACTGTGTGATCGTCTCACCACAAAGTTTCTATGGCTTGTACAGCAATTTTTGGCAAAGGACAACTTTCCCCAGGTCCAATAACTGCTTTATTCCCCAGATTCTGCCTCTGGCAATTTTTCCTTCTTCAAAAATCAAATCCAACTTGAAAGGAATAAGATTCCAAGACATCAAGAAAATCCAAGAGCATGCAATGAGGCAACTGCTCACTAGCACAAAAAGAAGTTCCAGGAATGCTTCTATCAATGGAACGATACTGGATAAAATGTGTGGCTTCAGAAAGAGTCTACTTGAAAAGAGATTAGATGCCAAATTGATATGTGTTGTAGTTTTCTTTTTATAGTACCAGTCCTGATAGTTTTTGATCAGACCTCATACATATATATATATATTGGGAAATTGTATGATAAAGTCGAAAAAGTTTACTTGTGATGCATTACATCCTTCAGTACTTCATCAGACTAAATTTGTTATGTTGGTAGGAATACACATGAACATGGCAGAGGTGTGCTGGGAATATTAGATTTTTTTTTATCAGCCAAAATTATTTAGAGTCTTTTACTTTCTTTTCATCACTTTTTTTAAGTAGGTATTCCACACATACATAGAAAAAATTAACTCACTACTTAACAATGCTGACACATACAAAAAAAATAAACAAACAAGAAATAACTACTAAAACACAAAAATTTAACAAGGAAATCAGGAAGACTCAGAATATCACCCCCGATCACCCAAACTTTACAGTCTCTCTAAAACTCACAAAACTGATATCCCAATGTGCCCCATTATCTCTGAAACAGACAGCCCCTCCCAAGCTGGTGAGAACCATAATAAAAATTCTAACCCTCTCCTTGGAACAATCAGTTCATCCCATATAGAGAAGTGAGGCAATCTAGTTGAAAAACTAAGGGAAATGAGCATGACTGACAAACTTATAGCCTGCTTAAGAATATGCAGCTCGGATTATTCACATGAAGGATATAACACTTTCAAAATTCTCCAGTAACCTAACCATTTTATATTCAATGTGAAGGCTCATAAAAATTCAAAAATAAAAAACTGTCATTCCTGGGAAACTCAATGAATCAAAAAATATATTATCCTGTCTACTAATTCCATCACATCTACAATGGAAAAGAATCTATCTAATCTCAACATACATCCAAAACAATAAAAGACTTACACAATGCTAAACAAAACAATAAGCTAAAATATGAAAGAGCAGTTTACTCTATTGCCTTTAATGAATGTCAGAAAAAATACATAAGAGAAACCTCAAGGAAGCTAAATAAAAGATTTTATGAAGACAAAAGGGACATTTTGCAAAATAATACATCAAATATATTGGTTGCCCACTGTAAAAAGACTGATCACAACTTTGACATAAAAAATGCTAATCTGATCAAAGGAGAAAATACTTCATTACATCATAAATGTCTAGAGAGTACCTTATTTGCAAGGTCATCTAAAGTAAATTTGCATGCTGGTTCTTAAACATTTCACCATTCTTGGCAGATCTTCTAATATGATTATGGAAGACCTACTTACAAAAGTGAAGGAAAGAAAAAGAAAAATTCTCTAAATGATTTTGTCTGCTAAAAAAATATCTAAAATTCCCAACATAATTCTGCCATGCACATATGTAGTTCTATCAACATAACAAATTTAGTCTGATGAAGTCCTGTTGACTGGATCTATTATCCAACTCTTTCTGACTCTTCTGCACTGTCCTGAAGAGAGAGATGTCTAAAGAGAGAGAAATATATAAATATATATAAAAAGTCACTACCTTTTTGATGTTTGCATTATTTATAGAACAATGAAACTTTTCCTTGACCATTATATAATCTTCATCTTCTTCTGATAACTTGACCCTTTGAATCTTTTCTGTTTGTGACCATTTTGGAAATTTCACTGCAAAAAAGAAAAAAGGGCATCAAATATTAAATACAAATATTTTCTGATATCACAACAACTTTAATGAGGGAACTCTACTTCCAAACTTTATCATCTCTTTACATCTGAATGAAATTACAAAAGTTTCCTTGAGATTCCAGCCTACCATTTTATGCAGAGTTCATATTTTCTGTCTGGATTTAAATAAAACATAGGAAAGCATTTATAAATTTAACATGTTTTATTTTATATGTAGTTTCATCATAGGTTTTGTAATTGGTAAATTGTAATAATGCAGATTCGTTTTGAATTTCAAATTGTATGTTTTGTTTACATTTGTTGTGTCAACCTCAAATGTTCACTGTCATGTGTCAATTACATGGCATCTGTGTGTGTGTGTGGCTAATTTGAGTGATATTAACATAATTTAAGTGTGTATCAAAAATTGGATTTATTAATCTATTTTACTGTATGATAAATATGATAAATATTAGAAGCAAATGTGTAATATCAGATTATGTCATCTGCAAATGTTTGGTTCTTACATTTTTTATGTACAGAGCATCTGTCATGTGTTTATCATATGTATGTTACTTATTAATATTCCTTCTAGATATTTTCTTCATAACAAGCTGCGCTCATTTTTATTAAGGCGGCATTATTGAAATCAAATATGGTCTGTTTTATTTCTATATGTAATTAAAGAATTTAATGGGTTATCCTGATGGAAAGCTTGTCTGTGTTTATAAATGCAATCTAGATTTCTGTATTGAGTAATTGATTTGTTTTTTATGGCTTATTAACCGTTTGCAGGTTATTTAAAGTGTATTTAAAGTCAGAATTCTTGCATTCATTCCTGACCACTGATAATCACTTTCTTCCTGATTTCCAAAACATTCCTATAATAAAATCATCAGCATTGCATTTAGATTATACATATAATAGGCACTATTCTACCACTAATGCTTGCATTCATTCCTGACCATTAACAATTTCTTTCTTTCTCATTTTCTGTGCATTTTCATGGTAAAATTGTTAATAGTGCATTATGCCTATAATAATTTCATTCTCCCAATAACTATTGAATTAATTCTTGACCACTGACAATACATTTGTTCTTGATTTAAAAATATATTTCTATAGTAAAAGTCAGAAGCAATATGAGATTTGTCAAAATAGAAATAAATAACAAGTATACCATTCTGATTGTTTTTCAATTTTTATCATCTGGAAAATTTCACAAATTTCTGATTGCATAAAAAATATATTTCTTGAAAAAAAAGGGAAATAAACAATATTTACCTTTATACGTCAATCTTTTTCTTTCTTCTTCATGATCAATCTTTTTTGCATATTCTCTCAGATCTGTTTTTGAAGGATGAATAAGGATATATGCCTGATTCAAAGAACTGTTTCCTAGCATGAATTCTAACACAGTGCAGTAAATTGTTTTGAGAATTCTTGGGGGAAAGTTCATAGCACCAGTTCCAATGCATGGGAATGCAATTGTTGCATTCTTGTTTGTTTTCACTGCTGTCTGAAGACATTCATTAACAACTTCTCGTATTTCCTAAAACAGGATAAAAGAAATTGAATACATTTGTTAATTTTCCATTTTCTTTTTTTAGCTTCATTTCTGCATATATAAGATATACTATTATTGTATCTTTCAGATACTATAATATGAAAGCATAGCATATAAACTGTTTTTATTCAAATGTCTAATCTATGAAGCAACAGAAAGGATACAATAATTTTCAAATCATTATTTTAATTTCTCTATAGTATTCTTCTTCCTGTTTCTTACTTTATTCATTCCTGTATATATATGTTATGCTTTCATTGTATCTCTTAATGTCTAATTTAATCTATAAATTCATTTATTGAAGTCACATAGCAAACTTGAGGGCAGTGGACTTATTTCCATATGAAGGTTACAAACAATAACATCCACCAATATCTATGGCCATCAAACCCAATTGTCAGGCAGAATATGCAGTGACTTGCTACTTACTAGCATAAAGTGAAGGTAAAAGATTCAAAATCAATCAGAAAGAAAATCAAATAATGGCATCACCAATATCTAAAAATTATCAGCAATTGCACAAACAATTGGATCACATTTGAAGATTAAATCAACTAATAGTGAAAAACATAACACCCAAGATAAAACTAATGAATGCAGAGATTGCTAAGTTTAAATATTCTGAAAAGCAAAATCTAGAACAAAATGGTCTTCATTTAAAACAGTCTGCTAATATTGATTCAAAATAGAAAACAGTATTTTGATCCAAATGAAATTGGTAAATGGCCGAAAATGTTATCGCAAATGACTAATACAATAATCGGCCACTAGAACAGTGTGTTGAATTTGTTCCAAGAATTAATTGGAAAATTTAACAGAACAAAAATTACAGATTAGTAGATATAAAGTAAAGTAAAAAGATAGAATAATGATTATTGAATATTCACCTGTCCCACATATGTGAGAAGAAAAAAAGAATCATTTTAAAGAAATAATGTTTTAAGAGACATTCAACAAAATAAAAAAATAAGTGATGTCTTTTCATTTAAAAGAAAATGAAAAAGGTTCTTTTATTGGAATGAAACTAGATAAAACGAATGATTTAAGAAATTTCTGGAATGTCATGTCCAACTGAATCAGTTTGACAGATCCATGATAAAAAACATTAGGCTATTTTGAAACCTATTTTGAACTAAAAATAAGTTTGATATGTTACCAATTGTTGTGGCAAACTGTGAAAAGAATCATGGTCTAATAGGAAATGATGTATTGAACATAAATTCAACAAAATTTGTGAACAAAGTCAAGACAGAAGAAACTAAGATGTTAAAAAACTATGAAGTGAAGTTAAGACTAAAGGAAATTATCTCCCCCTCATATTTTGAAGCACGGACAGTGCCAGTCCATTTACTACCAATAGTTGTGGTAAAACTAAAAAAATTACTAGAACAAGATCTACTGGAACAAATTCCACCAGGAGGGAGCAAATGTGTCTCCCTGTTAGTAATTTTAAGAAAGAAGGATGAGGATCTGTACATATGTGGTGATTACAAAATAGGTGTAAACCACAAAATATGTGTAGACTCATATCCTATCCCCAATGTAGAATGGGTTTTGAAATCCCTTGTGATTATGAAAACGTTTTTTAAAATTGATATAAAGTTGACATACCATCAAATACCTATTGCTGAAGACTTTAAAAAGTCACAACAATAAACATGTCAATTGACTTATTAAAGTGGAAAAGAATGCCATATGGAATTAAAACCATAAGTGAAACAATTTTCTGGGTTGATAGAACCTTTTAATGGTTATATAAAAAATATAAACACTGAATTTGTATTGGTGCATTCTCATGAAAAATAAAATAGGAAACCAGTATGGTTTTGAATAAGTTAAAAATGGGATTAACAATTAAGTTTAAAATGTAGTTCAACACTAAAAATTCATTTTGGGATATTCCATTCTAAGGACCACTCACCAGACCAATGTAATTTGACAAAATTATAAAAAGTTTACCATTTCAACAAAACCTCTGTTTTTGTTATTCCTCATTCAATATAAACCATTCTAGGTTTGACAAAACCTTTTGCTGCTTTCAAGAAAAAGAATTTTTATTTGGACAAAAAAACAAGTGGCATTTGAAAATTTAAAATCTGTTCTGACAAAGAAGCCCGTAGTAATAATATTCAAGCCTAGAAAGTAACAACTGACGCAAGTAAACACTCAATCTTAGGGATATTAGCTCAGGATAGCCATCCTATTATGCATCTTTGAGAAAATTGTCAAAAAATTGAATTGAACTATTCAAATATTGAGAAAAAAGTGTTGGCCATAACATGGATGACAAATAGAGTTTGTCAGTTTCTGATTGGAAAAAATTCCTACTAAGGTCCAACCATAGACTTTTAGAGTTTATATTTAATCCTAGAAAGGAACTTCCTAAGATAATGTCTTCTAGAAATTTAAGATGGGTCATGATGTTAATGGTGTTTCACCTTGATATTGAGAATATGAAAAGCAATACCATTCCATATATAGACGCTTTGTTGAGATAGAGGTTTATTACTTCTGAAAGTGAGAAAGAGTAGAAAAAATTTGAAGATACTTTCTTACACCTGGTTAAAACTGATATTTTGTCAATAGATAAATTAGCTGAGGATATGAAGCAAGATCCCATATTGAACAGTATATTGGCCAGGATAAAAAAAAATTAAGTGAAGTAATTTCGCACAGGCAGAAAGGCATTTTAAAGAGATTAAATACAAGTTAACTGTAGAAAAGGATGTCATTTTTAAGTGAGATGTACTCATTACATGAGCAACACAAAGGAGCAAAGTTATAAGAAATATACATGATAATGTTTATTGTGGAACAATGTCTAAACAAGTGAGATTAAGGCTAGAGGCATGGTGGCCAGACTATTCTACAGATGTAGAAGAATACATAAAAAGGTGTAAAATGTGCAATGACAGAAGAAAATTTAGACAGACAAAAACACATACATGGCTTAAAGAGTCCCAACCATGGAACAAAGTACTCATGAATAATATCCATGTTAATGGAGTGGGATTATTATTAATACTTGTGAATTCATATTCAGGCAAAAAGTGAACTAATCAATCTCCAGCAAAACTAAACATTAAAATATTTTCAATATAGAATTCTGAAAATGAACAACAATGCCCAATTTCTGGAGGAAGGAAAAATTCCAATAGGTAAACAAAATTGATCTCCCATATCTAACCCCATCTCCATTGGGAATCAAACAATGAGAACAGAAAAAATGGTCCAAACTAAAAAAATTCCAGGGAATATATGTGTATAATGAAAAAAAAGATTGGTACATTTCTTCCTAGATTGTTGCCATTTACATATGGACCATACCAAAAAGATAAATAGCCCATCTGCCATTATGGGTAATGAGGAATTTAGAGTTCCATTCCTGCAATAGGTCCTATGCCACCAATGAAAAATATTCAGAGCATTAAAGAATAATTTAGATTTCAAGAGGCAAAATTCCTCTTTTCTACAGGAAGATGAGGTGACTCATTCCTATATGAAGTCTGTCTATAAATTATACAGCTTTTACCCATGAGACAGTTGAGTGCATACCTACCCAAAGTCTAATCTAACATCAATAGACACAATACTATAATATTCAGAGCATTATTTTAATTTCTCTATAATATTCTTCTTGTTCCTTACTTTATTTATTCCTGCATATATATGTTATGCCTTTATCTTCCAATGTGTTTTCTATGAAGCAATAGGCAAGATACTATAAATGTAACATGGTGCTAGCCCAGATTCAGCATTTAGCTGTATGAGAATGCAAAATGGTGATTTGCAGTAATTAGAAATTAAAAATAAATTACAAAATCTCCCCAAAGGTTATATTAAATAATTAGGAAGAAATGGAAAAAAGAAACAGAGAATTAAAATTTCATCAGATATATAAAATGCAATTGATGAGGGAATCTAATTACCAAATTTGTTCAGGTGAACCCTGAACAAATTTGGTGAAAAATAATTAACTTTTGAATTTCTCAAAGGTGATCTAATAAGGATAAATATTTGCTTAGCTTTTCAAGCTAAAATCTGATCCAAGAGAGACAAATTCTTAATACTATGATGATAAGCCATAAGGTAATTCCCATTAAAAGTTGGAGAAATGTTTTGCTGGGACCATATGTTTTTTTTCTGGAACAATGGACAATGAGATAATCTGGACGTTGATGGAAATTTTTACTTACATCAATGTCAAAAATGGGAAAAGGGGTGTCCAGTGAAACATTTGATTAAAAATAAATTATAAATGCCTGTGATCTGATTTCAGCAAAAATTTCTCTAGCCAATAACAATTGGCAAGCTCTCCAAATGAGTCATATGATCACCGAAGCCCTAAAGCCTTTTTTTTTTCTATATTTGAGAAATTAATTTTCTCTGTTAATCTTCTATATTACTGAATGTTTTTCTTGAGATAAAATTGATATGGAATGTTCACTTGCATCTGTGAGTAATGTGACATTATGGCGATAGAGAAATAAATTATAGGAAAATCAAAATTTCACTATCTCTAAAAATAGATCAATAATAAAAAATGCCAGACCACAATATCATATTTTTTTCAACCAATCAGAAAGTTTTCAGTACCAGAATATAAGAAAAGAAACACAAATAATAAAAATAGATAATTCCACCAAAAAATCAAAGCTTTCACAACCAGGATATAGGGCCATGAGCTGCTGAGAAGCAAAACACCTTTTTTGAAGCAGATCTATAAATCAGAATCAATAGATAAATTTTGTCCATTCTGCAATGCATGCTTATTGTAACATACCCAGAGATGAAATGTAACTGGTGACTTTAGATGGCTAACTGCCTGCTATATGTTGAAAACATATACCCTTTTTAAGCAGCCTGCTGCTAAAATTGAAAACAAACATACATTGTTCTTTCACCCACATTGTCAAGTGATGGCTACTTAATTTGTATACATATACATATATATACTTACTCTTGGGCTCTTTCTCATGTATGTG